CCTTCTCATTAGCACTTTTTTTTAAAAAAGGCTATAAATAAATATATAAAGCTTTAGAGATTACTGAGTTCAACTTAAAAATTGCTTTTAGTTCCATGCAGACCCTACAGATTCAGTCCATTTGCGAGGAATGGTTGGGACGCTCCCGGATACTGTTGGCTGGGAAAGTGTGCCAGAGATTCAAGGAGAAGGAAGAAGTTTTTTGTTCAGAGCCATCAGAAGTAACGTTTGTCTCCTTGGCAGAGAGAAATCAAACAAAGGAAGAAAGAGTGGATTCCGTGAATGAACTGTCCGTGAGCTTCCTGACACTGCTTGTATAGTATATAAGTGGGAAAGCAAGTACAATACAACATGAACAAAGCAAGCAACGTTAGCATGTTATTTCATTTGATTCCAAGAATGCTGATAGTAAAACATAAAGACTTATCAGGCAAGTGACAAAGAAACAGGAATTTCACAGTCAATGTGTTTTCAAAGAGCAATTTAAAATCAATTCAAATGAGGCAATAAAAATAAATTAAAACATATTCCAATATGTACAAAACAGATAAATCTTTTGAAAATACTTCTAACACCATCATTTTTCATAGCTCAGTTCTCAAGTTCAGCATATAGAAGGGGATACCTGAGAAAAAGGAAGGAAAAGCAGGTACTGCAGAGTCAGGGGGTGGTGGGTGGACACTCCATTACACACCAGGAGTGTCAGTTTCAGATTCCATCCTTTATGTCTATTTGGTTAGATTCTCTCCAAGTCATCAAGCAAAGGCTGCCAGGTAGTCTGGATTCTCCCTCTTCCTCAATCACCCAAACAAATGCTGAATACCGAGCAGCCTTTGTTTGAGTCACATTCCTGAATTGCAGCCGAATTTGTTGGAACTGTTGTATGTTTTTTTCCCCTGAGCTATCCACAATATATTGGTGCACAGCCCAATAAAAACATATATGTTGAAAGTTAGAAATCTTTTTTTAAAATTATTTGTTAGTGGTCAAATAAAGGCATCACCTGCCTGGTTTTTGTATTGTGTAAGGACCACACAGCTTTGCTTGTTTATTTCCACTGCATGTAATGACCTCCAGGTGTTTTATTTGAAACAAAAATATTAACATTTTTTAAAGACATGAATAAAACTTGGGTATCTCTCACAATATCAGAATATAAATGCATACAGCTGGGCTCCAGTGAAAATAACTTGGTTGTCTGTTACATGCTTTAAGGAGACATTACTTCAACATTACTAAAATGCCTGAATGTGCTCCAGATAGTGAAAAAAATAATGATTCAGCTAAAAAAGAGAAACACAATGGTGCAATTGTAAGTAAATCACTTGCAAAACTGTCGAGGAGTTGAAGATGACCTTTGGGAGTCTCTTCCCATACTATAGATCTGTGATTTCTGTGTTGTTGTTTCTTATTATTCTTTGCTAGACAAACTACAGAGGACTGCATGGCTCAAAATGGATTTCAAGACATAAGACTTATAATTGTTCCAATGATCAGCTGTACCTCAGTCAGAACTACACTCAAACAGTGAGTTTCCTAAAAGTTTACTAAGAATGCTTTTCTTGTTGTTAGATATAACTGAAGAGGGCTGGCCACTTCCAGTCCTGATGCTTTAGAAACAAAGTTCAGACAACCTCTGTTCCTAGAAGGTGTGACGTGTGTTGGGGCTATCTCATGAGAACATTGAAAAGTGTACTTTTTGCCATGTCTGTCATTCCACCATCTCAGAATTCAGTGTGGGCTGAAGGTCTGTGAGAATGTGACTGGGAGGACTCAGGTGTGAGTCCACCTAATTCACAAGGAAAGCCCTGAACATCCTTACTTGTGATCTAAGCAGGGGCAACTGACTCAGCAAAAAAACAGATGAGCCCTACGTGTAAAACAACAGCAAAGTGAGTTTTTGACTATGTGTGTGGCCAAAACTGATGAAGTGTTGGACTAAAAATGTTTCATTAAAAACTAGTGCTACATAGACGTGGTGTGATGCTGTGTTGAGAAAATACACCTGAGTCAAAGCAGAGGGGAGATACAAGTGACAGAGAAATTGCTGCTGAAGAGTGGTCAGTACATGGCTTCAGAACACCAACTGCCTTTGATCTCACTAGCTCAATAATGGCTTTCAAAGAGAAAAACTTTCCTATTAATTACTGTATGCTGAAGATTTTATTTGCTTGGCTGGGGAAAACCATTCAGTCTCCTTAAGATCCATTAAATGCTTCAAGGAATGTAGTTTCAAATGCTGATAACCATTTACTTATCTGCAAAATTTCCTATTAGTTTCAAGATTGACTTGTTACGAAGGTATGTCTCACAAGCAGTCTCTCCCTCTGTATATATGGGTGGGGGTGGGGGTGGGGGTGGAGGGAATAGCAAGTTATTTCACTCTACCCAGAAGCTGGCAATATTCTGATCAGGTTGTAGCAAAATGGTGGGGCATGGTTTTCTTCTGGGTTCAGAACAATGAATCTGTGCTGGCAACACCACTGGCAGTTTCTGGAGGGGGACCCAGAACACAATGTCCACCTACCTAGGCCCACTATTTGATATGGTTACTAAACATTCTCAAAGATCAAGATAGAGATCTTTTGTCTACCTGTCACCTGGTCCTTTCTTTTTAGTAGAGATGCCAGGGACTGCTCTTGGCAACGTCTGCTTACAAAACCATACATTCTACTATATTTAGTGGCATGTCAGTAACTTACTCAGCTAAGGACATGTTGGCGTGTCATTGATGTCCTCAACATCTTCTGCTGTTTCATGGAATCATAGAATAATTGAGTTGGAAGGGGCCTATAAGGCCATTGAATCCAACTCCCTGTTCAATGCAGGAATCCAAATCAGAGCAGATCTGATAGATGGTTGTCCAAATACTGCATGTACTGCTCTAATAGTTAAGAGGTTTTTCCTGATATTCAGCCTATTTGATACACTTTAGTGTTGGAATCACTACTGTTCTACCTTTGTTCTTGTACTCAGCTGTGTAAAAGGTCCAGAAGTGAAACTCATGGCTTACTGGGCTGTATAGCCGTTGGATGCTACATGCACCTCCTCTACTTTGCTTCTCGCACAAATTGATTGTTCCTGAAAGAGGCTGAATGAAAATGGGTCACTGATGGATGCAGCAATTATTAGGACCAAGGATTTTCAAGCTCTGATTCTAAGCTGCTGCCACCAATAGCAGTCATAGATGCAAATATATAAGAAGCACTGGAGCAACTCCTTCTGTATCCTAAAGGTCATGCTACTGTATGACAACATAAAACAGATACAAAAATTCCTACAGACCAAAAAAACCAATCCCCCAACCCCCAAATGCTTACACTGATAATTTTAAGGCCAGTAGCAGCTTACACTGAAGTCACTCTTTCCAAGAAGCTAAAAATCAAGGTACATATTATTTCACTTCAAACCTGCATCTTCTGCATACCAAAAAGAAAACCACTAAAATATCAGACTTGTCCACTCACACAAGTTGTAGTGTCCATCCAGATTTACTGAGATGATGGAAGAAGACTTTTGGCACAAGTACCAGTAGGGCACTCTGTCTTGCTCCTAGTTCCTCAGTTTCTCCTTGGGGGTCTATTCCAGCTCTTTAATTCTATCTGGGACTGTACAGGCACCCATGCACACTGCAGCTTGTTAGTGGAGTAAGAACAGAAGAAGCATCTTCCGGAGCAGACCAACACCACACTGAGGCCTTCCAAATCTTAGTAATAATTTGTTGCCCTTCTGTTACAGTTTTCAGTGACAATTAAAAGAAAGTTGTTTTACCTGCTAAATGTCAACAGTGTTGTTGGTTTTTCAATAACAATTGACATTTTCATTACCTTAATTCATTAATGTAAATTGTAAATAATAATGTTTAAATTTAACAGTTTACTGAAATAATTACGGAATCAATTGGTGTTCAGTGGAATATTGCTCCTTGACCTTTAAATTCTATTTTACTATGAAGACAAGAAATCAGCAGGATGCTGCAGTAAAGACAGTCTTCAAACAGTAAAGGTGGTACAAATTCTTTAAACTTATTTCTTACGGCATATATATGTCTAGACAATATTCTACTCCTCCACCACCACCCACACCCACGACCTTTGCTGTGGAAAGGTCTAGTGGAAGTAGTCCTGCAGTGATGGGAGTCTGGCAAGACACTTTTAATAGGATAGCATCTTGTTTATCTCTTTCTCTCAGCCATTTCATTGACCTCAATGAGCCCTAACTCTAGGAAACATCTGTGAAAAATCAAAACATAGTAATTTCTTAACTGTCTTCCGTGTTGCTGCAGGTGGCTAGTCCGCTGGCATTACAAAAGCTTCCTCTGCTTCAAGCTGAGGGCTGCAGTCCTAGAAAGCTATGAGCAGGAGGGGAGAACTGTGTAGCCAGAAGTGTTTTTGAGGTTTCTGCTGCAGTCACTTGCACAGATGAATAAGCACGATGATTCAAAGTGGCTATAGTAGATATTTTCAAGACCCCCCTCCAGCACTGTGGCTGCACACATTACACATTGTTGCTGTCAATGTAAGTAAGGTTCTGTATATGATATGGAAAATTCTCCACCAGGAATGCGGTCAGCTGATGGTTACATTGTTTTTGTAAATTTTAAGCTATGCATGTTCTGATTTTACTGGCACAAGGATGTGCTTTTACAATATCTGGATAGCACATCTAATAACAGTTCATACACATTAACAAATGTTGTTTCGTTAACAAAGGTTGTTTTAAGAGTTGCCCTAAAGGATGTTTGGTGTTAGATCAAGTTTCTTCTCAGATGCTATAGTCATTTAGGGCAACAATGAACAAAATGTAGCCCTGTCCGTTTTGCTGGACTGCAACTCTCAGACAGGCTGATCTTTGTTCACTCTTCATCTTTGTTCAGCCCTAATTTAGGATAATAGCTGCCTGGATAGCTCAGTGAGTTAGGCATTTTGCTGCAGAGCCAGAGATGGGAAGTTCAATTCCCCACTGTGCATCTCTGGAAGAGCCAGCCCTGTGTGGCTTTGGGCAACCTGCACAGTTCCAGGGCACCCCCAGAAGAAGCCAATGGTAAGCTACTTTTGAGTATTCTGTACTGAGAAACCCCTAAAAATGGTCACCGTCGGTCAGAATTGACTTGATGGCTCAAAACTATCATTAATTTAGCATAATAGTTTGAGTTTCTTTTGCTTTCTACATTTCATCATAGCTTCTCTGTCTTTAAGTTCTACCTCTACTGCAGAATTTGGAAAAAATTATTTTTTGGTCATAATGCCCATGGCTACAACTCTTAGTAGACACACTTTCTGAGGAATAATGGGAATTACAGTTCCCCATAAGGATTTTCCCCCCTAAACTTTGATTCAGTGTTCCTTCCATACTGTCTGGTTGTTTCAGTCCAAAGAATGATTAACTATTGGCAAGGAATGACCTCTTATCTGATAATTCGTCAGCGCTAGGATGTGAAATTGAGGCTCATCCACTCCCATCCCCTCCACAGCTGCAAGTATTGAGATCTGAGCATAAATGATAACACACACACACTCACCTTCCTTTGGCAGATAGAAGTGAAGCTGCTAACAATATTCAGTAGTTTTATTTCCTTAGCTGGTAGTTATAACAATATTACACAAAGGAAATGTTGGAGAAAGCTTATTACTGCTGCAGTTCCCAGAGATCTGCGGATCCCCCAGGCTGATCCACGAAGCCTTGTTCAGATTGTTGCAGAAATTAGTTGCACAAAGAATAAATATTTAGCTTTCAGCTTTGACCACACAATGTGTGGAAATATATTTTGGCCCTTGGAGCGTGCTACCAATTGTACAAAGTATGACGCAGCAGGCTCCCTAGTATTCACCCCATGAATATGGATTAACAGCTGCAATCATTTTTATAGTATAGATCCATAAGTATGAATGCACAGTGGAAAGACTTTGGGTAAAGCTACATGTTCTGCATATTGAACATCTGCTTCTTATATTTCACATACTTATGTGGGCAAAAAAGGGTGAAATACAATTTTTAACAAAGTTTGTTCAGTTACAAAAATGTATAGGTGTCCAGAATTCTAGCAAATTATCATTAATCCCTAAATGTAAGATTTTTAGCAAGTCTTTACCCCCCCCAATAATGCTCAAACAATTGAAGGATGCAAGTTTTCTTTACCTAAACCTCAAGTGCATATTTATGACCAGATGTGCATAGCCCAGAGAATGGGAAAGCCTTTACAGAATCACTTAAAAGGTACCATACATAGAAGGGAGAGCACTAGCAGCGACCAAAAGATGGATCTGGCGAAATACTTAAGCATTTGTTTATTTTTCAGGATATGGGTAATTAGGACCACTTGGGTTCTTGGACCGATCAGACAAACACTGAGACAAATGGACAGGTTTTTGAATCTGCGTGGGGCAGCATTTTCCTGGGGTTTCTTTTTCTTATTTCTCCAAGTCATTTTCACTGGCCAACTGGTTGACGACATTTAGAAATAGCAAGCTGTGTGTGTTTAAATTAGGCAGACTTCCATAGTGAAGATGTGGCTACTTCCTTCTGGAAGAAAAACACACCTCAGTTTGAATTCCAAATCTTTGGCAACTGTGTACATACACAGAAATGTACCCAGGAGCTAGGGAAAAAGAAATAAATTACAAACCACAGGAAACTCCACTGCTGAAAGACATACTGGAACAAGCGTTAGGAGCCCTCCTGTTCTCTCTCCTGTATCTTCTGTTCTCTCTGTGATATGCAGTGAGCATATCCTTTGGGAATCAAGCTTGTTGACAGCTTAGTCTGACTTTGTCTAACCACCAACATCCTAGGGAGTAGGCCATCATAGTATAGAAGGCGCTGAATGTAATTTGATTTTGCTTTTCTTCTGCTCGTTCAGACCAATTCCCAGAACAATAAAAAGAATGAAAAAAATAATCTGCTTCAAATTCAGACCTTGGTAAAGTTACTTTTTTGGACTATAATTCCTAGACTTTCCCATCTAACATGGTCAGTCTGTCTGGGCAATTCTGGGAAATGTCAAAGAAGAAAGTTTTTCAAGCTCTGTTTGGATGAAAAAGATCAAATGCTCTCCAAACAGAAACTTGTATTATGTAGGAAATAAACTATTAACAGTGACTGGCAGAAGTGGAGCCTGAAGTTTTGAATCAGTGAAGATTTCCAGTTTTCCAAATACTAATGCTTTGCTCAAAAATAAAAAAAAACCAAGGCAGACTCTGCCTGCAACACAATGGTACATGTTGTGCCTCTTAAGTTCAACACAGCAGCAATTCTATAGCGAGCGAATGCCATCCAGCAAACATTTGTTGAAACTAAATTTCAAAGGGGTTGATTGTGTTGACATGCCTGATTCCTACCTGGAATTTAAGAGATCACCGTTTTATGTTAAAACACTCACTGCTGCTGAGGGACAGTATGCAATGCCAGACAGCGAGCATAATGTATTATTAATATTTATCTCTAAGTGAATGGATGCAACTGGATGCAAAGACCATTTTTGAGCATAAGTGAGTATCAGCAGGAAACCAACCAACCATGTGATGGTAGAGGTATATGCATGAATCATTGTTTCCTCAACTGACCACCTCCTTTAAAAATATAATGGATTTGGTGCACATAATATCCCTCTATACAAAGACTTTTATGTGAACATGAAATAAGATCACCTGCATTTCTGATTTCATGTGGGATTAGCATAGGTTTTGGACAGCTGCCGATGAGGTGAAGGCTGAGAATACTTGTGCACAAATTCAGCAGTAGTTTTGGTAATGCAGTGTGAGTGTATGCTTGCAAGACACAAGTGTCATGTATTGAAACTTCTGTGCTTGGTAGGTGATACAGACTATAGACTTGTTGCTTGAATATTTCTCATGATCTGCTTTTCCTTTTCCATTAGCTTGTTTTGATCATGTTCTTTTCTTTTAAACTTGGCTTCCATTTGAACGCAAGCATCTGAATCTGGAGTGAAGTCACTGTCTGATGGAAACACTGCCATTATTATGACTTTCACCATTGAAAACCTCACACGAGCAAGGGAGAAAACATTTTCAGGATTAAATTATTGTCGCTGAGAGAGAACAGTGGTTACAAAGCGACTATCCATGGCCTCTAGATTTGCACCTACGAGGCTACAAAACATTTTGCTGCATTTGGCCTCAGAGCTGGGGAACCTACATTGTGCATTTTAAACTCTGGGCTTTCTAGGATGGACTCTTTTATTTTAATTTTTTTTGTTTATTTTATTTTATTTTATTAAGAACCCCACTGGTCTTATAAGAAACAGTAAAAAGACCCTTTGTTTAAAGAAGCATTCTACTTTCTGTTTTACAGACTGTTTTTAAATAAGAGTTTCTTTTTAAATTCCATGTTCTTTTATTATGGAAATTCCCAAGATCGTGTTCTCAGTATAAAATTTTGCCAAGGCTACCACTTCTCTATAATATGGCTCATGTAGTCCTCTGTAGGCAACCGTCCTTGTTCTTCAGTGTCTTCCTTGGGAAGTGCCTCATTCGACCGGTGAAGAAGCCTCTCTTCCCGATTCTTTATCCTCTGCTCCATTCTCTCCAGCTGCCGCTTGTATTGGTATCGTTGTTGGAAGAGGTCTTTTGCATAGTCATACAGCTGCATGTCCAAGTCATTAAGTTCTTCAATCCTACGGATGGTGTTGTTGTCCACTTCCACTCCACCTGCTCTTGTGCTGTTGTACTGCATGAATGGCCGGATGAATTTCAGATTAAAAGTTCTCTCAAATAAGTATTGCGTTTTCCTCTGGAACTCTGTCAAACCAAAAAAGGCCATGTCTCTGAGATTCTTCTTTGCGCTCTCCAGCAGTATCTGTGCTCGCTTGTTTTCTGGTATGAAGGACATATTATAGCAACCCACCAAGCTCAGGTCAGCCAACATCCTCACTTGGCGATTGTTGGCTAAGTTATATGGGCAATCCATAAACTCCTGAAGAGTACAGCCTGACCAGTCTGTGCCTTCATAACATGATGGCAGCTCCTCAGGGGTTGGTGTCCGGCCATCACACATGTGCAAGGATGTTTTCCAGGTAGCTCCTCGTTGGACATGTCTCCATTCACTGAGGTAACGGGACACAGGATCTCTCAGTAAAGTGATATAATAAAATTTCCTGAAAGAAAGAAGAAATGCATACAAATCATTATACCATTATCCAGCATACCAAGCCCCATTATGCTAATTAAGTTGAGAACAACAGCTACTATCTAAATAGTATCATGATTTTCCTTCTTTTTCTTGTGAGAATCTTCTTGATAGAATCACTTATTTGTTTACTTTGTTATTCATTCATTTAGAGCATTTATATTTCATCTTGGAATTCTAATTCTTGACAGACTTATGTGATGAAAGGACCACCTTTTCCTAGTCAGAAACCATTTTTCCATTTCAGCCATATTCTGTGATATTACTTTCCAGTAGCAGACGGCAACGTCAGAATAAATCAGCAGAACTCAAATGATCAACCACCATCTGAAGCTCTTGGCCCTAGGGATCAACTGGCCTTTCAGACTACCATGCAATTTTAAAAAAAAACTCAGTCAAGAAAACTCTGTCTAGGACACAGGCCAGCAAGCACTGTTCAGATAACTCACACTTCATTCACACAGGGGCAGGTTCAATTGGAGAGCTGAAGCATATCTGGAACATGATTTAGTTTTCAGGATAGCCTGTAGAAGAATACTTTTAGTATATTATCTCACAATATGCAGGCTACTGTATCTGTACACAATGAAGAGAGATCAAGCTGCCCTTATGTGCTTTCATATCAATAACTAGATGCAATAAAACATATGTGCACACTTTCTTGCTGTAGCACTCAGGCAGAAATTACTATTCTGTGGTTCCCACTAGACAAATAACTACTCTGTGGGCACAAAATTATATCTTGTTGCATCCTATCAACTGACTGAAGGCTCTTTGATCCTGTGCAAATTTCTGTGAAAGAAGATATAAGTGATTTTTCCTTGCTTGCTACAGTTAGAACAGTATGGGTTAGGGTGGGCTGTGAAAGAAAGAGGATCATCATCATCATCATCATCATCATTTGTGAAAGAAAGAGGATCATCATCATCATAATCATCATCTTTCTGCTTATTAGGGCCACAACTGGTTACAATTCAGAGGTATTATAAAATCTGGTAAAATAGCCTGCTAAAATTTGTTACATTCAGTACAGGATGTAAAAATGCAAAAATGATCTATAATATTTTGGGTACTAGGCCTGTGCAATTTTGAAAAGAAGAGCTGCATTTCTTACACATTAATATAAAAAGTTTAGTTGCCCAGAAATACTAGTCTTCCCCTTACTACATAAGTTACATTCAGGACTTAGCTACACAGCTCAATTGGAGGTGGCTAGACTGGGCTAAATAAGGTTGCTTAAGGTTGGATAGAGGTCCAGTATGTCATCTAGTGCGATCCTTTCATCCAAATGGCATACACCTCAGGTGACCCTATTTGACTTGCCTCCTTAAGGGGAAAGAAACCTCTCTACTCCCTCCTCTTTACTCCTCCTTCTACAAGAAAGTGTTCAATTTTTAATTTTTGTCCTAAGTGATATAGCGCATTAACACTGTTCTAATAGATTGAGAAAAAACTTTTGCTTTCTTGTTGTGTCCCTCCACAGAGCAGCAGACAAAGTGTTTAGTTTCCCAATATCATGAAGCAGTTGAGCCATCTTCTTAAACCAATTAACGATATTTGGAAATTGAAAGCAGAAGATAAATTTAAAGCCACAAGCCCCACTGTGGTTCAATCCCAGCAACTGGGCATGTTAGAAACAAACCAAAATGGAGCAATTCTACCAGAGCCAAGAAACACCAGCCATGTGTAAACACACCAGCCATATTGCAGGAATGTTTTTTACAAATATCCTATATGGGGATAGTGTATTTCACATACAGTGAGTAACAATAAACAACTGTGTAACAATGAATCAAATTGATACATTTCTTGTCTCTACAGCTTTTTTATAGAGTAGAAACACAGCTACTTTTGGAAATATTGATTTCTGCATAAATGCTCCTTTAAAAATGCAAAGAGAAATGAATGGACTGAATGCTGAAAAGTCTTGAGACCATATTATTTGTTTATTATTTGAAACAATATTATTTGTTTGTTTCATGTGGTGGTGCCATTCCCAAGGTTGCTAAGTTGTTGGCTTAATCTACATTAGAGGGCAAACCCTCCTGGATGACATCACAGCTGCTTCTGAGGAGCATGACTGCCCACCATTCTTCTTCTTTCCCATAGGTGCTAGAGAGCCTGTATAGAGCCTTTCCTTAGGCCAATTATAATAGCATGATGTGTAACCATTGTCCTATCTGAACT